AACAACGTATATACTATTCTGAAGATCCTGGAGCATGTCCCGATCAGTGGCAAATCCAGAACCGAAACTCAGCTAGGGCAGACGATGAACGTTGATAATCGACAATCATCAACAATAATAGCGATGTCGTTTATTAATATTTAATTAAATAATATTAAAAATTCTTCAATATATAAGAAAATGCACTAAAACGTAAAAAATTCTACACATATGAAAATTTAATTCAATTAGTTTCTTTTTAATACTAAACATAAATTCCCAAATCACAAATCAAAAGTCATAAATGATAAATTATAACTCGTAATTCATAAAACATAAATTATTTATCATTTCTCTGTCATTTTGTCAATTAACTAATAAAACATAAATCATAGACTCGTAAGAAATTAAGAATCATAGCTCATAAATAATAAATAAGAAAGTGATTTATATTATTACTAATTAGTAATTATGCGAACTTGTGAAGGCAAAACCCAAAAAAAAAAAAAAAGAAAAAAAAAGGGAGAAGCAGCTCACTGATTTGAAGAGAAAGACGCGCTGCTGCCGATTGCACACAAACTTCTGTTGGCCAATCTTGGACTCTTGTTGCATATATTATATGGATTGGGCCTAGTTTTTTTTTTCTTTCAAAAAAAGGCCGACAACCACAAGCATGAGGCATCAGCCAAAAAAAGGAAATTTCCCAAACCTCGCCTTCTTCTTCTTCACCATTTGTCTGTGGTCTACCTCTGCAATTGCAACTGGTCTGATGCTTGACAAATACTCAAAGTTCCAGTAGAGTCCAGCACGTGCGATCGTGCCTCCTCGCTGGATGTTGGCTCCACCGCTAGTCACAACCCCAACCAGCCTTTCATCCTCCCAAGAACACCATATGAACCCAAGCCCTCCTAGAATCCTCGCAGAAGAACAAAGCGTGTAAGTTGCTCTCCAACTCATCGAATCGGAAGCATAAGCCATTTGATGTTGGAATTTGGTTTAAAGAAGACGAAATTTGGTGAAGTAAAACCTTGAAAAGTTAATTTTGTATCAATTTCAGCCAATTATTTGAACTTGATCTGATAGTCAAACTGTAGAAGTAAATAAACTAACTTGTTCAACTATTCGAGTAGATGATCGTAGTATATTTGAAATCTCAAAATTAATTTCGAATGAATGAGAAATTATAGTTCAAATTTGAAAGGAAAAAAAATGAGAAATTAGAGTCTGGCTGGGAATTAGAAGATCAATGACAACGATTGCTAGTGCATTGAAATGGATAAAAAAGGAAGCTCATGGAACTTCTTGGCACATCGAAGCCAAGAGAATTGCACTTGCATGCACTATATACCAGCTCTAAGCGGCAAGGAATTGGAAGACTTTAAAGACTTAAGGCCACATTCAGACAGTAACATTAAACAGATCAAAACAAATGTACAAAGTATCCACATGTTTTGATTCAATTTGGATCTCTTCATAAATAGTGCACACGTACACTACAAATTGTTCTTATGGATTGTTGCCAATTAAAAAATTGGAGATCATTTTTGACATAGAACAACATTAAAAAACTTCTTCTTGCCTACGTAACCCTAAAATTTCGGAAATATTTTTAATTGTGTTCATGTTTATCCCTTGAATTTTCACTTTTGCTTTGCAAAAAGTCGCCTAAGGCTTGTTATATTTGTGAAAGCTATTTGTTGGAGTGATCTCGAAAGCAATATCCAACCAATGGGGACAAACATCGTTTTTTGAAAAGAAAATTTTATACTTGATTTGAGCCTCTAATATTTCAGATTTTCACATATTCAATTTGTGTTTATTGATAGGGGTGAACACGATTCAATTTGGGAGATTTAAGATAAATTTTCAAACCAAACAATTTAAAGAGGTTTGGAATTTTTCCAAACCAAATCAAACAACTTCAATTTTTAAATCAAATCAAACCAATCCAAATCTTTATTTATTTTTATTTTTTTTGGGGGTCCTGTTAAAGAACACAATTTAACAAAGAAAGATTAATATATATCAAATAAGTCAAATCATAATATATTAGTCTAAAATTTCGCATTAAAACTTAAATTGCATCATTAAAAAATTACAAATCAAAGTTATATAATTTTAATGCAACAACATGATATAAATATTTTAAACTCTTAGTCAAATACTGATAGCATCCATCCGCAATTATAATATACAATTCATTCTCCTCGTAATATAAAAATATAGTACATTAATTTGTTGATTATAGTTAAATGATATAAAATAACTAATAACTAAAAATGAATAAAAAAATGTTCAAATACAATAATACCTAGCTACTATGACTTTTTGTGAATTATCCAATACTTCTACTCCATCCAAATATCAACGAACTACTTTAAGGGAACTCGACAATTATTAGAATAAAACAATTTTTGCTCAATTGTAATGGATGATCGATGAATTTAGTTGTATTGAGGGAAGACGGGGCTTGCTTCTTTCGAGAAACATGACCAAGTGTGCCCCATTTATTGGGTCGAGTACTTAAATTCGTTCGCAATTTCTGTCATCAAACCTCCCAAAATATTGCAACTTGTACATGATAGTTTGCTAATAAGAGCCTTTGTTTGAAACAAAGAAGTTCTTGAACTAATGAAAGATTGGGAAATTGTAAAATTTCCATTCTTACCAATGATACAAGAATAATGCTACTTGTACATAATGAAATTATATAATAATTTACATATAAATGATAAGTCAAAAAAGAGTGCAAAATATTTATTTATTATTTTTTATTCATGGTAAAACCTTGATAAATCAATGTTTGATAAATTAATAGTCTAGCTTAAATAATAAAATTCTTCGTTCCCCACTTCGACTAGTGTACTAAATTAATAACTTGGCTAAACGCATAAGATAATAAAATTTTTTTTTTTTTTGAAATCATTTAAGATCCAACGGATATATAAAAGGGAAAATTGTAGCCGACATACCAAACCCTTCGTTTATTAGCAGACTTTGCCCAAACCTTTCATTTGTACCACCGTGAGTACCAAACATTTAAAAAATGTGCAGCTCAAGTCAAAATTGACGGTTTCCGTCTGTTTGACCACAAAAACCGTCAGTTAACCCCAAAAATTAAAAATTTAATTATTTCTCCAAAATAAGGTAAGAGCATTTTGGATAAAACACATTTTTCCTATTAAATCAAAAATTAAAAATAATAATAAAATCAAAATCCATCCCCATCTCCTTCTTCCTCATATCAAAACCACTCCACCCAACCACTACATTCATCGCCGGCAGCCACCACTACCCACCGGCATCACCACCATTGCCCACCCAACAATGAGCCCAATTAACGCTAGGGTTTTAAAAAAATTCAAAGCAATTCACTTATCTATCTGCAACAGTCCAATTCCCATCCTCACTGCAATAATGTCACTCGATTCGGCCGTGTCGCCGCCATTGCATAAACATTCCCTGAAAGACACCGTACAGGAGGCCCAATTCTCCCATCGGGTCCTAATACACTCCATCCTTTCCCGAGCCAATGGCGGGTCTGGTCTTGCAGTCTAGACGGTCGGAATTGAGGGATGGGTGAAAATCGGTAGGGAGCAGAGGAAAGGCAATTTCGCATTTTTGGAAATTAATGATAGATCGTGCCTCTGGAACTTGTAGGTGATTGTCGATGTCGACGTTCATAAGTTGAGCGATTTGGTGCCTACTGGGACCTGTGTACATGTCAAGGGTGAGCTCAAGGTTCCTCCAAAGGTTGAGCTCATTGTTGTGTGGGCAGTGGTGGTGATGCCGGTAGGTAGTGGTGGCTACCAACAATAAATGTGATGATTGGGTGAAGTGATTTTTATTTGGGGAAGGAGGAGATGGGGATTGGTTGTTTTTTTTAATTATTATTATTTTTAATTTTTGATTTAATAGAAAAAATGTGTTTTATCGAAAATTCCCTTACCTTATTTTGGGAAAATAATTAAATTTTTAATTTTTGTCGTCAAACACAAGGAAACCGTCAATTTCGACTTGAGCTGCACATTCTTTAAAGGTTTGTACTTACTGTTACACAAATGAAATGTTTGGACAAAATCTACTAATAAATGAAAATTTTGATTCTTCGACTGCAATTTTTCCTATATAAAATATTAACTTTTTAAATTCATAAAAGTTCATGTTAATAATACAAATTAATAAATTTTTAACTCGACATTTTTTTTAATTCGCCTCTTTTTCAAAATATACATGTAAAATCTTTTGCTTTTCTTTACACGTATGTCAATGCTTCCTTTTTAATGTATGCATGTATGTACCTTTTGTATTCTCACGGATTAAATTTTGAATTTCACCACATTCAATATTAAAAATAAAAACAATCCTACATATATTATGATAATATATCATATAAGTTATATAATGATATATTGCTCTATAAATTAATAACAAAGAAAATCTCACTACTTTAGAGAAACTTTTGTCTTCCATGGCATTCATTTTAGGTCAAGAAGTTGACAGGTGATCCTAAAAACAACGGTTAAATGCTCGACAGTCCTAAAATTCGTTATGACGAAAGTTTAAATCTTAATTTAAGCTGATTAAATTTACTTTTTATCAACATATTTCATACAAATCACAACTTAAATTCAATTATTATTCATACATTTTGTATAATCCAAGGTATGAAAACATTTAAAGCAAAGTAAAATAAGAACAAAGAATTGAAGTGTCTTTTAAAACATAGATATAGAAACAACAAAAATAATATCCAGCCCCCGGTGGCAAGAGTTATAATGTCAATATGTTGAAATGGTGTTGCTACATCAGCCGATCAAACCTTTTTTCTTTTGAAAAGTAAAAAAAAATACGATTTGACCATTGATGTAGCAACGACTCATCAACAGTGAACAATAGTTATCTTGCTCACTAGAGACAAGAAATCAAACTCTGAAAGAACCAAACCTTCACAAACCTATTTGATTTCAGGTTTCTCTCTCGAGTCTCTTTCTTCCAGGAATACAAGAAGATTTCTAGAATAAAATCAACGGCGACATTTCTAAATTCTGACCAATCTTATATTTCACTATTCTTATTTCAAATCACATAACTCTTCACAAAACGAAATACCAGTAACATTCATCATCCACGACAAAAACAACTAATTCATCACACCACCACCACCACCAGCCAATGGAAATCATTGTCAAAACACAACCCAACAGGAATTACAGCCATAGCTAAGAGTTCGAGACTATCGATTACCTATATATTCCTTAACAAAGATGGACTAAAAAGAACACCACAACTTACTACCATCACTTGTAAGCAAGATGATCGGGTTGTCTAAGCACGCTCACCCCTAATCCGACGAGCTAGCTGGATATCCTTGGGCATGATTGTCACACGCTTGGCATGGATGGCACACAGGTTGGTGTCCTCAAATAGACCCACAAGGTAAGCCTCAGCAGCCTCCTGAAGTGCCAAAACAGCATGGCTCTGGAAACGCAGATCAGTCTGCAACCAAATGACAAGCAATCAACAAGAAGCCCTTTACACACAACCAGAACCCATTATTAGAACAATAAACTAAGCTTTATTCCATATAAATTTATGAATCCTTCTACACCATTCTGCCGTGTTCATTGCTAAATCTAACAGGATTAACAATTAGCTGAACAATGATCAAATAACAAGAACAACGTTCTTCATCACAATATCCCTTGAAATCCTGGGCAATTTCACGGACAAGCCTCTGGAATGGCAGCTTCCTGATCAAGAGCTCGGTACTCTTCTGGTACTTCCGGATTTCACTATCATAATGTCAATGATACTATAAATCAGCACGATTGGACACCGACCAACCATTATTCGACAATGTGAACAAAAATGTTAATGTAAATATCATATATACTCACCGAAGAGCAACAGTACCAGGACGGTAGCGGTGAGGCTTCTTCACACCACCAGTGGTCGGGGCAGACTTACGAGCAGCCTACATAAAACAGTTCAAGATATTACAACAGTGAAAGACGAAAACCTCACAAAAATATATTACGCGGATTAATTCATAAGCAGAAAGGGCAAAAAAAAAAAAAAAACCAATAAAAATTGAGAACCTTAGTAGCAAGTTGCTTCCTGGGAGCCTTTCCTCCAGTGGACTTACGAGCAGTTTGCTTTGTACGAGCCATCTGCACATTATCCCAATTACAGAATTTCATTAGAATCACATTCTTAAACTTTCACAAAGAAAAGGATCTTACACGGTTCGTTGGAAATTCCTAAATTAAGTTATATTTCAACCTATCCAGAATCAAAACCCACTTGCCACCTCATATTATAACTAAATCAATAAACGCATCCGAACACTAATTATCAAGAAATAAATAGAAGATTTTAAGAAATCAACCAATCATTTCTCATTAAAACCCTAGCATTTCGACAAAACACCGTAATTCTAACACAATCGGGACAATCCATCAAGGAAGCATGAACTTCGTGATAAAACGATAAAATCGAAAAGCTAAAACAAAACCCAAACCCAGAATTCAAACCCTAAGCACGTATAATTAACAAAATCGACATCAATCAAAACAAATAGAACAAACTTAACCCCAGATTTTCCTCAAGCGAGCACTAATTGCAAAATCAAGGTTTATAATATCATCATTAAAAACAACAATAGCTCACCTTGACCAGAATTCTCTCACAATCTCCTTCCTTGGAAAAATGAAAATCCCCATTCTTTCGAGGGTGGTTTATATATATAGGCGTTGATGGCGGTTACCATTAAGAGAAATCGACGGTGATGATTATAAGTACGAAATCCGACGGCTATAAAAACGTAAGTTGTGTTTGATGACGGCCAGGATTTGAAATTAATGGAATGACTCGGATCAAGATGCCTCATTAATCATTCTTTCCCATTGGGTAAAAAGATTAATTAGAATTAACGAGTTGAGACTAGTCGAGTCGAATCAATTTTGTAATTGATAATTAGAATTAAGGAGTCGAGATGATTCTAGTCGAGTTAGTTTTGTAATTGAAAATTGTTGTGGGGCCCAAGTTGGCAATTTTCTAATTTCTAATAAAAAGGGGTAGAAGGGTCTACTATTTATGCAATAGTAAATGAATTCAATTTTACTATTTATGATATCATTTTTTATTTTTCATTTTGTTTATGTCAAATAAATGTTCTTCCACACATCATCAAACTAGCATTAAAAAAATAATTATGTCAAACAAATGTTCTTCCAGATATCATACCACTAGCATTAAAAAATAATAATAATTTTAGTAAATATAAACTACCATGAGAAAAAAAAAACTTCGCACGTGAGCTTTGAAAAAAAAAACTCTCCGCACAGTGTGTAGAGATGACAAATCATGTGCGGAATAAAAAAGAAAGGAAAAAAACTCTCCGCATGGTGCGGAGAGTTCCAACTCTTTGTACAGTGTGAAATAAAAAAAAATTCTCTCTGCGCAGTGCGGAGAGATGGCATTTTGTGCGGATACTGTCCTCAAAAAGTACGAACTCTTCGTACAGCGCGGAGTAAAAAAACAAAAAAAAAACTTTGCACAGTGTGGAGAGTTGGCAAATTCTCTGTACAGTGCGAAGTTAAAAAAAATATCCGCACAGTAACTGCCACGTGCGTTGCACGAATATTGCATTTATCGTATTTTTATTAGTGTATGAATTTTAGTTTTTTTTGGAAAGTTTTTGAAACAATATCTAGAAAAAATTTCATGATATGAGAAAATAATTGTAAATTATTTTTACAATTGCATAACAGTATTGTGTCATTTAGAAAAAATATACTTGTATGTTTCATACTTGAATAAAAAATATACGAGATTATAAAAACTATTTTGCTTGTATTATTTGATAGTGTTGATATGATTGAATTGAATATGAAGATTATATTTCTAAATTTTGTGTAATTTAATATTCGAAAATTAAAAGATTGAGCACCATATTCATATGTATTTATATTTTGTGCTTCATATATATTTAATATTTATTTTATGCTTATGTTAAAAAAATAAAAATCTGAATTTTTTTTTGAAATTCGGTTTGGTAAGTAAATGTACCATATTCTACATTCTCGGTATTTAGAAGTGCAAAGAGCTCCGTTATTTGTAGATTATAATGAGATGAATAGTATTTTTTTGAAAAATGAGTGATTGAAAAGTTTTTGATTTTTGTGTAATATTATTTTATTAAAAATTGTGTGGTTAAAAGTAGGAGAGAAAGAAACTTAATTTAATGTAATGAAAAATAATGGGGCTTAAACGGGGGCACAGTTAGCTGAAATACGGTAGGCAGCATATACGATAAGTTGTAAATACGGTAGACAGCATATACGATAATGTGAAAATACGGTAAGTTGTTTACAAATACAGTAGGCTGCAAATACGATAGGCAGCATATACGGTAAGGTGCAAATACAGTTAGTTGTTTGCAAATACGGTAAGCTGCCTACAAATACAGTAAGCTGCATATATGGATTCATAATTTGCTATAAATGTATAAAATTTATTTAATAATGAATTTATTAAGTATTAAATGTTGTAATTCAATATTATTTCCTTTTTGATAATTGTAATTTCGAGAATTAAAAAAAAAAGTGGTTATGAAATCGTTAATTTTTAAATGTGTTTTTTTTTAAAGATAAAAATAATTTTTTTATGTTATTTATAAAAAAATTATTGTAATTTTATAGCGTAATAAAAAGATTTATTATGCATTTTTATTTTTTTGCATTTTGTGAATAATTTTGCTTATAGAAAAGACTCCGCAAAGTACGGAGAGATGACAAACTTTCTCTCCGCACAGTGTGAAGAGAAAAAAAAACTCTTTGGACTTTATCTGCAAGTTCCAAGATGTCTTTTCTCAAACAACTTTTGAGCAATACATTGAACACTTTAATTCCTGGCCTACAATCCGAAAGTATAATTTTATTGAAAATTTTATCCGCTTCTAATATTCAAGAGCTGTTATCAAGCAAGTGTAAAATATTGAATTTGGATGGTACCCTAGAGCCTCCATTTGTGAAAGCAATGTCATGGTACTATCAATATCCCTTTCTTTGCACAACTCACATATTATTTTATTTTATGAATCACGAGAAAGCTCTTTTTCGATACCATAAATATGATTTGCATGCTCAGAAATTGAGTTGTGACTAGAATTTAAAAAAGACATAATTGATTTTGAGTCGTATTTTTCGACTCTGTTTCGTTGTATATACGAAAAATTTACAGTCTTGAAATTTGACTTGTAATTAAAGAATTTGAAAACAACTCTCCGCACTGTGCAGAGAGTTTTTTTTCTCTATACCGTGCAGAGAGCTAGTTTGTCATCTCTTCGCATTGTGCGGAGAGTTTTTTTTACTCCGCATAGAGTTTGCCAACTCTCCACACATGGTTTAACTCTCTCTGCACTATGCAGAGATTTTTTTTTTCTCTCCGCACTATGTAGAGAGTTTTTTTCTCTCCGTATTGTGCGGAGAGTTTTGCTATGGTGCGAACCAACTTTTCGCATAGTGCGAAGAGTTTTTTTTTTGCTCTCCGTACTGTACGGAGAGTTGGTTTGTCATATCTCCGCACTGTGCAGGGAGTTTTTTTTACTTCGCACTATGCGGAGAGTTGCACATGGTTCAACTCTTTACGCACCTTTTTTTATTTTTACTCCGTACTGTGCGGAGAGTTTTTTTTTTCAATTTTACAATATTGAATTACATAAAATTTAGAAATATAATATTCATATTTAATTCAATCATATCAATACTATCAAAGAATACAAGTCAAATAGTTTACTTATTCAAGTATGAAATATACAAGCATATTTTTTCAAGATAACATACTGTTTTGCAATTTTAAAAATAATTTACAATTATTTTCTTATATCATAGAAATATTTTTAGATATTGTTTCAAAAATTTTCCAAAAAACCTAAAATTCATACACGAATAAAAATAAAATAAATACGAAATTCGTGCAACGCACGTGATAGCGACTAGTATAAATAATACTATCTAATACCGGTGATGATGAACATTAATCTATGTTTGAATTTTCAATCTAATTTAATATCATTAATGTTACGACAACTAATGTTAAATAATATTACTATTTTGTTTACAAAACTTAGATAGTCATCAATTTGGAAACATTGCAGATTAAGTTTTCACTACTAATTTGATTTCAATTATTTAAAATTAGAATTAACTTGTTTAGACAAGGTGAATTCTAGGGCAAAAAATAGGACGCCACCTATTGAAGGGGCGACTGTGTTCACCCTGACTGTCCAATAGGATTGTTAAAATTAATCTCTCAATTTTACAGGGCAATGGTCCTCGTGGACATTTATCATCCATTTTTTCCACTAGAATGACAACTAGCCAGTGACCTCATGAAAAGATGGAATGGTCAAATTTCAAGCCTTACCTAATAAAGGAAGCTTTCCACAATATGACATTTTTATTATTATTAAATACCATTAATAATTATTTTAATAAAATCATTATTTCACTTAATTTAATAAAACCATTTCTCACTCCGTTCCATAAAGACACTCTTATTTCTTTTTTCACACATATTAAGAAAATTTAATTAATATACTAAAAATAACGAATTTTACTATCATTTTTTATGATATACCTCTACATTAATGCAATCAATATTCAAGGTAATTAAATTATATTTGTTATAACAAAAATATATTAAATAGGAATATATTAGAAAATTAATATATTAAAAACACTCTCAAATAAAAAAACATGACTATAATTTGGGATATACGAAAAAGAAAAGAAAAATATGACTATTTTTATTGAACGAAAGGAGTATTATTTTTGGACAAAAAATAAAAAAAGGGGGTTGGG